AAGGTTAGTGCCAATTTCCATACGATAGACGTAGTTCAGTAATTCAGATAAATCAGGAGGATTTTTTTGTAATATGAGAGATGATGACGCTAATTCTCCCGAACTTGATTATTAGGAGTTATGGCATCTTCCGCTATTAGATGAAAGCAAATTGTCTTTTTTTTGAAGAGGAATTACGAAAATGTTGATAAATAAATGATAAGTAAAAACGAGAGTTACTTATGAGAATCGGTGTCTACAACTGTCACCTAGGCGCCTTTTGATTTTAAAGCAGCTTTATATTTCAGGACTGGGTGTGTGATAGACTTACCTCCACGTGGTGCACCCTGAGCAACGTATACTCATACGGCAAAAAGTCTATTAACCGGCAGTTGCCATCTGACTTCAAACTACCATTACCCCGCTGTATGTCTTATTCGACCCCTTTCATAGTACTCACCATACCTTATCTCTGTCTTTGTCTGTCTGTCTGTCTGTCTCTTACATCTTTGAAACACTCTTTTGTCCCCCCACCTCTCGACTTTATTTCAACTTGATGTTCCTTCCCCTCTGTGAAGCCTGAAGTCAACTAAAGAGCTAATGATAACTATCAAAACGCCTGCCATTTGAAATAATATTTCAGGCCGATATCTTCATATTCGAAAAACCGCTTACAATTCCCCCGAAATCGTTTCAGTGAAAATTCTACACACCATTTCAAAATGCCTACTCGACACATACACACACTTTTAATATAATGGCAGTAATAGTTAACAAGAAAAGATTCTAGTTAGATAATACATTCTTTTAAAGTCAACAATACAGATGCTTTGTAGAAAAATGTCGATAATATTAGCAAAATTGGCACTATTATTTTAGTTTACCAAGTGGCACAAAATACCCACGACCTGGGGAGATCGCCGATTGAGCCTGCCCAATTTTACCCACTCGCATCTACCTGTCATGTCATTTTGCTGCACCCTCGCAGTGGATACAAAGCACATACAAACCACGTGACTACCAATGGTCTATGATGTTGGTTGAAAATTTTGTCCAATATTCGGGCTTATGAAAGCGAGTAGACGTCATTTCAGGTTAGAATGATATTGGCCAGCAGTGCTAAATGGATTAAAATGATTTATCTGTCTTTTATTTTGAAGCCTTTCAGAAGTCATTACGTATCAAGCATTGTTTTATACTGATAATGCGATTTCCATAGCAAGAATAAAAAATTAATTAATTTTAAATTTTAATAATAATTAACTTAGTTTCATAATCATTGCTTTTTCACATTGTTCAGATGCCTATTTGCTAAATTCCTAGAAATTATTAAGTGCGCGTTTACATAAACATTGAAAAAACAAGTCGGTTATTTTCTCTGACTGAACCATTAAAACCCTATTGTCTGAACGTATCACAGTTTGTTTCAATACGTTCAAGTTGATGAGACCAATGGTAATTCTATTTCCTCAGAAAGTGGTGAATATAGGGCTAATTTAACATCAGTGGGTCCGGATGAAAGGAACTGTCAATAGGGCTCTTTTGGACCAAAACACGCGAGCAACCTGCAAAAATCACCGATATGTGGTCGAAATGGCAAAGTTGCGGATTAAATAGGACCAAAATGAGATCAGATGAGATTTTTATCTTAAGGATTGGGATAAAACAGCCAAAATATGATCCTACCAATGCTATTATTTAACATTTTAGTTAATAATCAGAGTTACTATCTGAGGGAATAAAATTCAAATTCGCGTCCTTTTAAGAACCACGCAATTTGAAAAATACGCTTCATTGTAATCTAATTTAGTCGAAGTCCATGGAGTCTTATTAAATCTTTAATCCATGTGATAATGCGTGGTATATTGATAGTCATGATTACTATTCCATTTAACTAACTTTTTAATAATATTAAACTAATAAATCATATATTCACAAAAGTCCATCTTAATTTATCACCACATATTTATGTTAGAGCATTTACATGTATAGTTTTAAATAATGTTGGCATAAGTTGACAAATATCTAATGGTTAAAACAATATGTCTGTGAAAAGTTTTTTTCCTAAACATTTATGCTTGACTTGTTCTGGGTTTTGACTAATGTTTGAATTATTGAGAGTTGAGAGTCAGAATGGTCCTTGCGGCATTTAAATTACCTACAGGACAGTTGGTGACGCTTGCGGAAAGGTCATCTACGCGGGAAATGCAATCTGTACAAGTTGTATGCCCTCATTAAAAGAACCATTACTGATCAAGCCCAAAATTAGAAAAAACCACGATGGAAACTGCTAGTATAGTATGACGCTGCACTATTTATATATTGAATGGAGTCGAAGCTGACAGCCTTGTGTCCAGTAAATCGAAAATGTAATATCTGAATGTGTGAGTTGGACACATAAAAAATCGATAAGATCTCATATCTCTTCAAAACTTTAGATTTGCAGCATTTAAAGGAACGGCGTGAGCGCTTTTATTAGTGTAGTTTCAATGGAATTTTGTCAGTTGGATTCATTCACACTCAGAGAGAAGCGACTATGCTAGATTAAATGACGAGATTAGATGAAATACAAAATAAGTGCCATCAGTACTAGACACGTAACAGAAGGAGCCACTGCCGTTGGAAACATGTTTAATACGTGTCTATAGCCTTCGCCACGTCTACAGCATCTGTCTGCTGTGGGACACGCATGAGTGCGGTCGGGTGTATTTTTCAAAAAAATAATAATTCGAGTGTTAAAGGGTTCATTTGCAAATGAAACATATGACTCTGCAAAGAAGTCGGGCAAGCTAGTAGTAAAGGCGAGAAAATTACCTTTACCTTAATATTAAATCTATTTTCACGTTAATACGGTATTTACGCATTCATTACTCGTATCTAAGGCTTTTAACTTTCAACTGATTAAGTATTCGGCTCAGTAATTTGATCATATCATGGCTTTGTTGCAATAGGTACAAGGGATGAAGGCAGCGAATGTTCTATTATAAATTTGTGATCTTAAATTTAACAAATTTCCCCGGTTAAACTTTACGGTTTGCAATATTTATAGCAAGCTTCTAAGCAAATGTTAGTAGTGCACATACACAGTAGGGTGTTTGATAATCTAATTACTGAAGTTGGAGGTTTCAAGTGCAATATAATTGGGTAAATTGGTATGAGATTTCATAGTAATACTTAGTACAGAGTATCAGAAATAGAGTACTAAAATAGCGAACTCATGCCAATTGGTTTTAAAGGTTGCGGGATTCAGCCTCAAGAGAGAGTATGATCTGCATTCCAACATCAAATTTTCGAAGATCATACGGCGCTCTGATATTACAACCCAAGTTAGCTTCACAAGAAGCTAAATTAGGAAATGTCCTTCGAAGACAATTGCATTTAGATATGGGCTCACGATTTCATGGACGAAAATGTTAGTTATAGTTTGAGGATAATTTTGCTAAGGAAAGGAGCCTATGCCAGGCCACCTGAGAACGGATATTTGGATGAAATTATATCAGCGTTAGGGGGTGTGCGATAGACTTACCTCCACGTGGTGCACCCTGGGCAACGTATACTCATACGGCAAAAAAGTCTATCAATGGGCAGTTGACTTCTGACTTCAAACTACCATGACCCCACTGTATGTCATTTTCGACCACTTCCACAGTACTCATTTTACCTTTTTCTCTACCTTTGTGTCTGCCTCTTTTGCATCTTTAAGCCACTCCGTTCCGTTCCTCCCTATCGACTTTTTTCACTTTGATGTTCCTCCCCCCCCCCTCTATGAAGCCCGTGGTCAACTAAAGGGCTAATGATACCTATCAAAACGCCTGCCATTTGATATAAATAAATAAATACTGTTAAAAATTCAATTTTGCCTGAAAACAGAATTGATTTTATCATTACACAGTGTAATCATGCTTTTTGTTTCATTTTGGGACTTAAAAAGTGGTTTGTTCAAATAAGTTGGGGTTTTGTTTGCAACCGTTGAACTCACACTTATTTAATCACGTGCCATATATGTGTTCTCATGATAATTATTCCATTTTGATATGATGCAAGTACCGGTTAAAAATTTTTGATAAAATAGGCTTAATTTTACTCCGTCTTGTGAAGAAATGAACATAATTTCAACTGATCTTAGCCTGGAAAGTTTTTTCCAATTTTTTTTACTTAAGATAACTTTTAGCATAACTAAAATTAAAACAAAATTATAGCCGATTTCCATTATTACTTTGCAGAAATACTTTAAAGTGCCGAAAATGTTCCAAATGTGGAAACTGGGCATTCGAGCAATTCGGTTTGGTCTCCCAAAATTGCAGATGAAGTAAGCATACGCTCTTTAAATAGGTGTAAACATTGCATTAAAGGCACAGCACTTGAGTGATGGCACAAAGGCCGTAAACTAACCTCAATCATGTGCCTTTGTTGATTTGATCGGCTGGTGATTTCGATGGAATATTAGTAGCACATAGCAATTAAATTAAAGTTTAAGCCTATTCTAACAAGTAATTCATCACCAAATTAAAGAATATTAAAACTATCTACATCTAGCAAATATAAATCTCTTAGTGATTTCAACATTTAACAAGCGGACTCCTCTTATCTAACATTATTGCCTTTTGGACTTACCATATTTTCGGATGAATTCTTTGAGAAAACAGGGGATATCTCAAGTTCACCTTGAAGATCATATGTTGTATTTCCGTTAGATACTGTTAATGTTTTATTGTTAGAAAGCGATTCGTCTCTTAAAGGGCAGAGTTGTCTGGGTGTTAGAATGGAGTCCCTGCCGTAGCTCTGTTGTGCTGCAGGACTGTGCAGATAAAAAGATAATTTAATACTACTATGAATTATTCAGTAGAGCGTGTTAGGGTGAGAGTGAACTTGCATTTCTAATGGTGGACGACAATCTTTGATCGTGTATGTAATTTCAGAGAGAGATTTTATCGCATCTTTTACTTGATCTACTTTAGACTTTCGATTTGGAGACTGACTGATCTCAAAGGATTGCTGGTTATCACCTTCAGAGCTCATTGTTACCGTAGACTGTGCGTCCTTAAGTAACTGATTTATCTTTTGCACTAATGGTAAAATAGGCGGGATTTTATTTAAGAAACATTTTAATCTCACATGTTTTAGCACTTTTTCCACTTTCCTTGGGACGCTGACCGTTATGTAAAACAAGCTCTGACTGAACAGCTCCCAATTTTTCAAGATCTGCCATAATGGCATTCATTAGTTCCTCAGTATTTTTGCCCATTAAAAAGGAACTCGGACCACCATTCACTGGTTGCTATAAATATAAAATTGTGCTTAAGTAAAGTAATGAATAAATTTAATGCTATTTAAAGAACTAAGAGGTGTAAATTTAAAATAAAACCTACTAATGAAGAAAGGTTCTCATCAAATTTGTTTAGGCGCGTTAAAGGTTTCTCTTCCTTTAACCTGAATGAAGAAGATCTAAAATTGATATCTCCATTGCTTCGCACAAACTATAAGAAATAAAATAAAGCAAAAACACAAAGAGACTAAAAGAATTGTTGAAACGATTGAAAAGAACAGTACGGGTTCAAAGTTTTTCATTTTCTTCATTATGTTAGTAGCGATTCTTGGCGAATGATAAAGTCGAGTATTTAAAGGTGTACTCGATCTTGCTGATACAGATCTACTGAGCATTCTTTTCTTCTGGCTTATCAACAGGTTACGAATTGCCGACTGCTCAAGTTTTCGGCGCTGAAGAATTCGTCGCCACCATCTCTGAATGCGACAAATTGCATCTAACAACCGTTCATCAACCGAAATCACTTCTACAAATTATATAATGTGAAATAAATCGTTAGATTCAATGGATTTTTTTAATTAGAGTTCCAGCTTCGTTTATTTACCTGACTTTTTATTTAGCCGATTGTGCTCAGCTCTCAAAATCTCAAAAGTTTTCTGTATCTTTACATATTGTTGAGAATACATTCTTGGAAATATACACTCTAAATATTTGAACATAAAATTAATTTTTAGTGATAAGAGAGCTCATATATCTTATGAGGTTAGAAAAGTGTTTTGAATCAAACAATGGGGAAAGCAAAATTAGAATCAAGAAATGCATCATTTCAAAAAGAAAATAACCAAAAATTATCAATAACTCCGAAAGCCTACATAAGGAGAAAAATAATTCATAAGGCACTGTATTAATAACGGTTTCTCAATAAAAATGGATATTTAAATGAGTATAATTACAATATTTGGCAAAATGAACAAAAGCAACAACTAAATGTAACTTTGTAAAGTAAAAAAAGATTTCAGTGTGTTTGTTCTTAAATTACTAACTATAAGTTGTATGCAAGTTTTACTAGAATTCTATAAAAATTTCAACAGGATGAAATTGGCAAAAGTTGAAGGTCAATTATTTAGTGATAGCGGCGCTTTACAAATAGCTTGGAATTGTTGTACATGATGTAATTAAACACATTTCCATAATCAAACTTTTGTCCACCTATTTTATTTAAATTACACTAATTTATTTGGAAAGGTGATTATTTACTTAGCTTTCAAATTAGCTATATTTACATAATAGCGTATCCCGTATTCCAGCTGAAACATTTAAATTTATGTCATAAAATTATTATTATATTTATTTTCGGAAAATGTTCTCAATAGTCTATTTTTTAAATATTTATTTCAGAATTTTTTGGCTATGGTGGAATAAACGCGCTCCTCTCATGTTCAAGGGCAAACTCCTTTGTTACATATAGAATGGCTACTGTCCCCCCAAACGATGGCACTCGAGTGATCTACTACGTTGATGAAGAAGATACACCTTATTTGGTCAAGCTCAATGCCCCAGCAGAATCTGTTACTCTTGGTGATTTTAAACTGGCTCTTAATAAGCCCAACTGTAAATTCTTCTTTAAGTCCATTGATGATGATTTTGGGTGAGTTCTATACCATGTTACTTTTTGATTTATCCTTTTTATTTTTATTTATTTTTGGCCTGCCTCTTTATTTAAGCAATACTTTAATTTTTCATTTTGGTTTTTATTCTCGATATTTTAGCTTAGTTCTTTTTTTGTTGTTGCCAATTTTTTCATCTATGTTTCGGATTTACTGTTTTTTTGGATTTGTAAGTTCTTACTAAATGAGGTTGTTTTTCTTCTTTTGTGTTCATCTTCCATGTATTTTGAAGGACTTGCCAAAACTGTTTTTGTTATATACATATTCTTATTTTCTACTTTAGCGTTGTGAAAGAGGAGATTACAGACGATTCCGCAAAGCTGCCTTGCTTCAACGGACGTGTCATATCTTGGGTAAGAAAACACTTTTTTTCGATATTTTTTGTTATATTGTTTTCAAGTCTCTGTTGTTTTTTCTCTACTTCATAAGTTTATTTAGTATTAGAATCGCATTCCTTGTTCTGATTGCTAAGTATATCTTTATTGTCCTTACTCTTTAGATGCCAGTAGTGAACTTGAAAAATATGTTTAATTTTACTTGAATTGAATTCTATGCTTTGTCATTTTAATTCCGTTCTTATGTCGTGCATTAATTCATTTTAGTTGGTCTCCAATGATAATTGTACGGGCAGTTCCGATGGTGGGTCAGGACTAAATGCTGCAAAATTGGCTGCTTTGGCTGGGGCACAGATTGGTGATGGAACGTAAGTTCTCTCTTCTTCTTCCTTTTAGATTCTGCCTTAACTTCTTAAATTTTCCAATTTTCTCTTGTGATTCCAGTCAAATCCCGGAGAAGGGTCGCTTTAGTGAAAAGAAGATGAATGGAAATGGCAAGAAGAATACAGACGACTGTGATACTTGTACAGAGGACACGGAGTCTGTTCAAAGCGGTGGACAAGGTAAGTTCTCCTTCCTTCATTGATTATTCGTATTTCGTTTATATATGAGGTTCAAAATTAGGCAAGAAAATCAAATCTTCTTAACATTTCTGCTAAGTACATCTCTCCATTCAGAAAGAGGCTGATCTATTAGTAGTATATCTGTTGATCATCGTCAATCATGCGCTCACCCAAGTGTTCCGTTGATTTTTTTCATTTAAATTGCGCTAATTTTCTTTTTTCCCCTTTAGATCACATAGCACCTCTTCGCAGCTTCCATGACTACAAGCATGGTACGTTCCCTTTCTGTGGTTAATTTGGTCTACCTTAACAATTTAGCTTGTTGAATTTTACTACCCAAATGTTCCCATTTCAAGTGGTCAATTTAGTCTAGTTTGATTTTGTCGGAAGGCCTCTGTGTGTAAGCTGGTGGGGGGGGGGGGGGGGGGGGGGGGGGGGGGGNGGGGGGGTGGGGGGGAGCGGTGGAAACGCAGTGATGCTTGTATGACCTAGAGTGCACGTGTGTTTTCGCATGCGCACATCTGTTCTCGTCTGTTTTCGGTCAAGGAGGTCAAGAAGTGGTAGCTGCTACTGCTGCTGCCCTTTACCTGCCGCACTTAATTATCCTGGAATGCAATGGCTTGCCTACATCCTCTAACGCGTTTCTAAAGGACTATCTGCAAGTGTGGTGCTCTCTTACTTCGTATGTTTTGGTTTTTTCTGTATTAGGATATGGTCAATTTCATTGGTAAGCTTTTGACGATTTCTTGTCACTAAAACTGGAGTTTAGTCGAGCTTCCTTCAATAAGTTTTAAGGTATTCAAAAAGCCATTCTGCGCATTTTGACTCCATATTCAGTTTAAAGTGGGCCTTGAACTCATTAAAATAAAACGTTTTCACTTCTAACTTGGCAATTTTCAAGACTCTCGGGTAAGAAGCTCGTTTTCTTTTCTTCAATCGGAAATGCAAATCTATTTGCTCCCTTCTTACTCATAAATGAAGATCGAATCATTGTGATCTTTGGCAAAGCTGTTAAACTTCTCTGATTTATTAAAGGAGAACTGCATGTATGTGATTTACTATTTGATGAAAGGCAATTGCTAACATGCAATTGTTACTATACCACTTGATATTTTCCTTTACGACTTAGTCTTTCTCTAACTAACCTGATGTACTTGTCAATATTTTACTCCTACTACTGCATTGTGTCGTCATTTGACAGATATCATCCCCCCCCCTGCTCTTTGCTACCTGTCTAGAGGCTGTCAAGTAGAGAAGTCAAATCGCTTAACCTCGCCTGGATATAGTGTGCCACCATTTCGCTACCCTAAGTTATCCACCGAGTTTTTTTTAATTCGTTTACATCTGCACGTCTGGTCACTCGATTGAAAGAGTGTTGTTTAACTCGCGTACGGATGAAAGTGGACGTTTTCTTCAAATGCCAACTGAAATCATTCTTGTCCCCCCTCCCTCTCCCCTACTTTTCCTTGCATGGCAGTTTATCTGACTTCTGTGTAGCTAAACCATGCAGTCGATGACCGCGTTGGAACAATGGGAATAGAAATATCACGTACTTGGGTTTATAGGTAGAGACACAGAAGCCGCTTCCAACAACCACGGTTTGATTGACTGAATGGTCAGCAATTTATCCATCCATCATTCCAGAGGGAGAGAGAGAGAGAGAGCCTACCAGTTGCTCCAATTTGGAGACAGGGAACGTTCATGCTGAAGTCAATTCCCACCCACCCTCTCAATCACGTGTTCCTTTTCCCGCCTGACAACTCCCTGCGTGCAACACTTTCGCTCTTCCCCTTTTCTTGTTATTGCGAGATTGTTTTTTTTGAGCCTGTTTAAATCTGATTGGGAATACTGTAGCAAATCCTCTTGGACGCAATTCGTTCAGTGGCTAGAGAGAAAAAAACCTTCATGAAAGTTACTATTTCAAATTTCCAAGGCATAGCCGCATTATTGATCTCAGTGCTTTGAACAGGGGTTATATAGCAGACTATATATATTCACTAAGATTGAGGAAGAGGTGAATACATGTAGTACTTTGGTCTTAAAATAAGGAGTTCTACATAGTTTGTTGTTATAAAATTGTATTTCTTGAGGTTTTGTGATCGTTATTCACGGGCACTTTCCTAATCTTATCCAGTCCCAATTCGTGTGATTTACATACACTGAATACTCTCTTTCCTTGGGCTTTATGTTTACGAGTGCAATATCTTTTGGTCTGCTTCATGACCATTCGATGCATTTCTACGGTGATTGCGGACTAACTCCCTATTTTTAAAATAAAAAAATTCATTGATTTGTAAAAGTCTGCGCATAACATCAGGTTTTGTTTGTAATTTGGTTCCTACGTATGCTTTTGCTTGACGTTTCTTAAACCACCCAGAGTCTGTGACTTTGAGTCTATCATACTAGTCCTTTGCATCGATTGGAGCATGCATTCTGTAATTATCTGTTACCATTTCTTACACGCAAGCAACTGGTTTCCTTTACAAAACCGTGCGTTGTATAACGCACATTTGCTTTTCATTCAACCTACGACCACCGTTGGCATTTGATATAGATGATCCAGGGTTTGTATTTCTGAGATTTAATAAATTAGCACAGTTGTTAAAATGCTATATTTGCCTAAAAAATACAATTGAACCCCTTATGGGATACTTGAAGTTATATTTAAGTGCAACTTTCAGGGTTTATCCCGTCTTCCTTGCCTACGAATGATTAGCTAGAGTTGTGACATATTCTGGATTAATTTCTTTATTCTATAGGTAGTCGATACGGTGGCGGTCACCATTACCACCGGCATCACTTTGGAGCATCCGCGGGAAATGGAATATACGGAGGAGGAGGTGGACCCGGTTCGAGTGTTTCTTCAAGCGGCCGTCACCATCATCATCACCATCGGGGAATCTACGGCACCGGTGGTGGTGGTGGTGGATCCAGTGTTTACGAAGCGCCTTCCTCCATGATGAGCTCAGATCTCGATTCCACCAGCTTCTTTGAATCAGATGGCGAGTCGAGCAGGTAAGGATCACTGCTGTTTCACGTGCTATTCTTGCTTTCGTGCGTTAAGTTTCATTTTACTATGTTCAAAAGCCAATCATCTAATTTTCTGAGCACTTAGATGAGCTTGATGAGTAGCCATATGTTAATTATTGATTATTAATTATCTACTAATAAAACAGCAAAGATAGATGAGACATGCATAAGTTATTTGTAATTACCCCAGCCCAATGAAAAATGAAAACGGAGATACTTTCTAGCTTTTCTTGAAGTTATAATTAGCATATTCATTAGCATTTGGGCATTTTAAAAATGCCTTATCTTCCTTTTATTTCTTAAACCAAGTGGGTATGCCATACTCTTACCAACTTGATCTGCGTTTTCACAGTCGATCACAAGTTTCATGGCTGTTTTTTCGCTCCAGTGTTTCGTTTATGGTTGCCAGGTCTAAACTGTCACATTAAACGGTGACCATCAGAGATGATCAACAATTTAAAATGCGCACATGATTGAGGAATGTTCGTAAATCTCTCCATGGGCATTGTCATCTTGTTTTTTTGTATCTGAGACAGGACCGACGATTAATGGCTTCTGCTCTTAGCGGTTAATTGGTTTACTACTATTCTTTGAAGTTGGAAGATTCATTATGGTTCTTCCTTTATGGAAATATAAAGGCTCATTAAATTTTGGACATGTATTTGATATTCTGAACAGGAAAATGAATCGGTTTCTAACAGAATAAGCATTTAAGCCGCAAAAGTAATGTGTTCCTTTTCTTGTTTATTCTCAGTCTTTCCTTTTAACGTTGAAGTTTCTACTTATTCGGCCACTTTTCATGCTTTAACTACATTTTCAAGGACGGAGTACTCCTCGTTACCTTTTTGCCTCTATGTTTCTTTTTACTTATTTTGTTCCCCTTTCTTCTTCTATGTCATTGTTGATACTAATTTAATTAAAATTCAACAAGTCGAGCATTCTTAATTATGATAATGTTTTTCGAACAACCTTAACCGCTACAAACGTGTCCTTTTTAAAACTGAAGTAACATTCAACTTCGTAGGTGCGCTTTGCGGTTTTTTTTTGGTTTTCGTTCCAATTTGATTTATTATCGTACTTGAAATATATCCCATTCTGAATATTACTGAAAAAAAATCGCTTCTATAGGGGTAGAAGACGTCACTTTTCCTGATTAGACCGTCACATTGAGTAATGTATGAGGACAGAAGGCTGAGTGTGTTCATTGTTGCTTATATTAAAAGCAAAGAATTTGTCTGCCTCCAGAGGAGAAGAAGAGCAAGTTAGTCACACTAGATGGCAAAATTCTTCCATCCATCGTTTACAATCGCCATTCTATTTGATTCACTACCAACGCTCTCTAATCTCTTCCATCCACCATGCGGTGACTAGTTTATCTCTGGACTAACATGAACTGATTTTCAAAGTAGTGATTGAGTTTGATCTAATCCGGAGGCTTAATTCCTCTAAGGTAAGGTCTAAAGAGGAATTGATGTCACTTGACTAATCGTTGTTCCTTTCTCCCCCCCCCCCTCCCTCCCTTGTGTTTACTCGTTTTCTCTATGATATCCCTTCTTGTCGGTCAAAGTTCAATTTATCTGCATCAATATATATGTATATGTAAAGAGTTTTGTTCATTCGAGGATGTCTGCAATAAATTTCTCCGTGGCCAGTGAAATGAATGAACTGGTGACTGAAACACCACACTGCAGCCAGACACCTGGATAGCGCCCAACCGACTGGCCAGTAGCTGATCTGTTTTGACTAGACAGCATTTTATTCTCAGTGTCCCCCCATATGTTATGCATTGCAAGTTTTCTAGGGGGGTGGGGGGGGGGGAGAGAAACGATAACAATTGCGTTCTATGATTAGTTTGCTGGCCCATTAGTTGTTTTAGTTTATGGAGATATTATTGTTCAACATAGCTTTATTTTTGAAGATAGCTAGTTAACGGCACTTTCTTATCTAGGCAGTGGAGATTTAAAGTTAGCTCTAATTATTTTTGCAGAAAAATAGTGGCCTGCTCTTGTGAAGCAATCTATTTCCGTTCGTCTCAGTGGTAGTATTAGTTCTAGCAAAGCATCTTGACTTGCAACTTTGTGTATTGAAATAAAATTAAACAACTGATGATAATGATGATGATGACTGAAAGGTAAGGCGGGATTTATGGGCTAATTGGGGGGGGGGGGGGGGGGGAGTGGAAATGACTGCTTGCTGACACAATATCAAGCTTGCCAGGGATACTTTGAACCCCATAGGCGATTATAATCGATTTATTGAATACTATCTAGGCTTAGACGCCAGATAGTCTGGTCATATTCCACGGAAAAGTATAGTCACGTTCATTCCGAGGCGTATGGGTCGTTCAGGTTTCCTCTTTCATTCAGTGGCATTTCACCACTGTTACCGCTTTGGTTTACATTCATGTCAGTCTAATTTGGACTGTCAGCACATCGATTTATGTTGTTTTCATAAAGTTAAATAAGACTTACAAACCAATCGCTTTTATATGAAAGTTAAATGTCCTAAAGGTAAGGCTAATCCATTATTGTATCATCGGAGTTCTATTATATGCATCTTTATTTAATAAGCTGTTGTGGCATGACCATCTTATCTTCGCTTACAACTTAATTCAAGCTCTATTCAGGGCGTGTTACGCACAGCAAAAGCAAGAACTGCTGAACCACCAAATTCAGGCCTTTTTCATTCCATTATTGGCACTTTGTTCCATTCATGCAAAAATTTCCATTTGGAATAATAAACAGACCAAAAGAATCGTGCGTAGATGGTAATTTGTTCCCCCCCCCCCCATCGCTAGAGGTTTCTTGCTGGTACGTTGCTTGGACGAGTTTCGCCTCACCCACTTATCCCATAAGAAAGGCCTCCCCGTCCTCCTCCTCTTCCTCCCATTTCGCGTGACGGAGGAACTTTGTCCCTGTGTGATAGATTGAACGGCCTCTTACGAATGGGGTCTGTCTTTTTTTGCGATACCACTGAATTTATGGAAGTTCTTTTTTTTTTGCCCACGGAATGGGTGATAAATCGCTTTAACTATAGATGTCGAGGGCAAGGTTTTGACATGTGGTTCTCATGAGGAGTGAACAATGCCTTTTGACCATTTAACGCCTTTTTACCAAGCGGGTTGAAAACCTACCTTTTAAAGCTTCTTGTTGGAGTGACGAGGGGAACGATTGGGGGGTTTCGCGCCTGTTCCCGCTCAAATTATGGGATGGCAACATATTTCAACATCAAAATCGGTGGATAGTGACCGAAATTTTTGAACTTATTGTACTTGAACTACTAAATTTACCAATTTCAGTGTCTTCATTATCACCACTTGTGGAAATTGCGCATTTTTTTCTGTTTTGTTTCTCCGGGTAACTTTTAAGACAAGTGGATCAGCGCTAACTAGTGATATGGCTTGTGAGGATTATTCATTTCTATTTTCATTGGCCAGTGTCACTCCCTGAGCAATAAATAAAAAAATCCTTGATTCCACAAGCCATGAGACTTATTTATTGATGGTTTTTATAAGTCTTGAAAGCCTACAATTGTTAGCTGTGCGAATTTAGTATTTATTGTTTTTATAAAATGAATTTATTTTTTGAAGGCTAACTTAATCTGATTAAGTAACTGCAAAAAGATCAAACTAATGCTTCATAATTTGCATATTTGGATAGTTTGATTAATCAAGTATTAGTCCAGCTTTTATAAAACAAAAAATGAATTATAAAAGTATTGTTGTTGGGCATAAATCAAATTAGTAAATTCACAATTCATTCTTTTGGCAGTTGGCATCGGAATTTATACTGTAAAACAGCCCAACCAATAGTTTGCCCCAGTTTGCAGTGTAGCGTAAAAGCTAATTTTAGCCTTACTAAACTGTTCAGTATATTTACTTTCCAATCGGAATCGATTTTCTCATTTGTAGATTTTCCGGTGCAACTGGGACCACTATGTCCTCACGATACGGTCGCCATAGGCAACGACGGAGGCGTCGGCGACTTCTTCCAATCAGTCGAGTAAGTAACTCCGCTTAAAATGCCACTTTTTTTTTAATTTTGGAACGCGAATCAGTGAAGTGCTCACCATGTGAGTTCCAGTCGTGAATGGTGCAACTTTATAGATCCCTCTATCCTATCCATCTCTCCCGCATATTTAACTCAGCTCCCCCAATGAAAAAATGTAATATTTGTCCGCTTTGCTATGGATTCTAATATTTCAACAAACCGAATCACCTGCAGTCGGTGTCTTCAAGCAAAATGCAATGGTTTCCCTTCAAGACTTTTATACTTGAACTTGACGCTATCGGCTGTGACGAGGTGTTTGGTGACAGTCATAAATTTGGTGGTATCTTTGTACATATCACTTGCTTCGCCATTGATACAAAGCTCTCACCCCGCTGATATAAATTAAATTTACCACAAAAGTACGCTAAGGCTGCGGGGCCACTCACAAACCCAGTGGTCGGATTGCTTGTGATTTGAAAACAGATTTTTCATACCGTAGGAACCAAATAATCGGCAATTTGTCGCCTTGATTTCTTGCTTTCATTCTACTTGAGTTTCTCACCATAGACCTGCATTTTGATAGGCACAACTAACAGTAAACTTGGGCCAATTTACCAATCACTTCTTCGCGTACCAAAAAACTGCCATCCTCATCAGACTGGTTCTTCTTCTTCTCCCTCATTATTAAGGGCAAAAGGAGCCTCTATTATCCCCCCATTTATCATTGCCATATGGGGTTATAAATAATACCACTTTTCCAAGTCTCTGTGCGCGCATAGGTATAATAGATTTGATATGTCTAAAATTATTCACCCATTAGATAGCCAGCTAGACTGATTCTCTTTAAGCAACCTTGAGGGGATATAAATGGATAATGCATGTGTGTCTGGTGGCCTTGCCAGCTCTCTGTCTGCTGTTCATTTACCGCGGAGGAATCACGTTCAATTAGTCCGGCTGATGTAAGCGTCTGGAATATTGCACTCAGTAATATGGCTGTTTCCTCTCGCCGTCATTCTCCATTCGAATAATTTTGCCTATTTTTCTAGTTTGCTTTGTGATAATTTGAAGTGTGCGACACTGCTTGTTGCTTAGTGTCTTCAGATATGCCTTTTTGCCCGCGAAGGAGGAGACGGGCAGTCCCTGATTGAAAAAAAAATGGAATGAAAAAGTATCTATGGCCAATTTTATTCCATCCTGTCTATGACTCTCGTGCCACTTATTGCCATATTTGCAATTTCCACACCTGACCTTTGTTCCTACAAAATCCCCTCTAAATGTTGGCGTAGTTCAAGTGCACTTCTGGATGGGGGTTTTTTAGGTTCTGACTCACGATCGCGATACTCCCACGAATAATCCCGCATCCTGCTATTTGTCAACATCGTCATTTCACAAATTAGTTGGTATTGTCTTATCGCGTGGCCGAATGAAGCGGTCGATCGCCTAAATTCTTCCCCTATTTCTTTTCTACCTGGAATTCCTTGCTAAAACTTTCCATTCCCTCTTCTGCCGTCCCATTTAGTGCGCCTGAACGCCTTTCTTTACTTCCCTTCCTCTTTTCTCTTTTTTGCTTTCCTTTTCCCTCTTCGTGCAAAGTTTTATCTCCTACCATGATAAAATTTTAACTGGGAAAGGCTCAAACTATTCCTGTCAGACACTTGGAGAGTGGAGAGTTGGCGGTGGGGAGAGGGGTGTTCTTGTGAAACGATCCGTGAACGCCATCAGCAGGGGCGGAGGTGAGGGGGGGGGGAGGGAATGCATCTGACAAGTAGTATTCCCCCTCTCTCCCCCCCCCCTCCCCCCCGCGAAGACATGATGCAGGCTGATTGTTGTTATTTCCATTTGCATTTTTACTGTCAAGATTCAATCAACACGTCATAAGTACTTCATTGCTGTGTGCGTTACATTAACCATTTTGGTAGAAATTGGATATGACTTGGAGGAAGCTATTGTCACTTGAAATGCGAAAGAAGAGAGAGAGAGAGAGAGTTTTAGTATCCCATTTTACAGTCTAATATTAACTCCTATTGAATTAATTATTTGGACCGTATGTCTTTCGTTTTTTCCCCATCTCATTACTCCAAGTAAATTGGCAATTTCTGTGACAAACAAGGCCCTTCAAATTACCTCCTAGTTACTATTAAGAGATTTTTCGCTTTATTTGCTAATGTGGGTCGGTGCTTGGAGAAAAATGGCTTATATAAACGTTTACATTACCATCTGTGTGAACCAAGTATGGTTAGGCATGGTTACACGCAAATTATTTTTTGAATCCCGCAAAAGATGACTAAATCAAGGATGTTTTTCAACAGATTTAGGCTTGTCAATAAGTTTTCCGGTCGTTTTTGCAGATTTTATAAGCAGCAAACTGGTCTTCATTTGCGTGGCTGGAAACCTTGCCAATCATTTTATATTAGAAAGACTAGTAGACGCCTGGCGTAGTGTCATGGACGTCTTAAACTCAACGTATCAGAATGGTATTCTAAAGTTTGTCACAAAATTTTGCTGCGAATCTTCAAAGGACCTTTACGAAACCACCGATAAATGACATCATACATTCCTCTTCTTCTGAGCTACTTATAGAGGACGCAGAAATTTTCACCTCCCTGAATTGTATTCTTACAGCTAAGCGTTCGATCATTATATTCAGATATATATACAGGACACAACGACGGTATATTATCTTTCATTAGTAAATTTCTAGGCCATTCTCATTCTAGCATTCAAATATGTTGGTGATATTTCTGCCTTCTTGTTTACTCGATTTATTTTCTTTTCAGGCATCTTCTTTCAGTAGCATAACCGACTCAACCATGTCCCTGAATATCATCACAGTCACCCTCAACATGGACTCGGTGAACTTCCTTGGTATCTCCATTGTTGGCCAATCGACCAAGTCCGGTGATGACGGCATCTATGTGGGTTCCATTATGAAGGGTGGTGCAGTGGCTCAGGATGGCAGAATTGAACCGGGTGATATGATTTTGGAGGTGAATGGAATCTCGTTTGAGGACATGAGCAATGATGATGCCGTACGAACACTTCGGGAGCAGGTTCAAAATCCTGGGTAAGTGAGACATCCCAGCAGTACTTTCTATGTATTCCTCCTTTAAAAACTTGTTAAAGTTTTACGTCTATTTGCTGCTTAACTTGCAAAATTTGCATTAATATACATAAGTGAAACTTGACGTGAGAACCTTTAAAATGTTAAATTTTCGAAAGGTTTCCATTGAGCAGGCTTTGCCTGCTCACAGAAAGCTTATTCACACATAGTTCTTGAGATTTTCCCCTCTGTCATCCAGTTGGCATCGCCTTTTCCGTCTTATGGTTCCGATTCCTTTCACAACTGACATATTTTTCGAGCACCATAAGAGTGATTTAAAGATGTAAAAGAGACAGACACAAAGGCAGAGAAAAGGTGGGGTTGAGTACTGTGGAAGTGCTCGCACATGCATTACAGTGGGGTGATGGTAGTTTGAAGTCAGAAATCAAACTGGCTGTTAATAGACTTTTTGCCTTATGAGTATACGTTGCCCAGGGGACTCTTTTGCCGTGTATACGTTGCCCAGGGTGCACCAGTTTGTTTGCCGTATGAGTATACGTTGCCCAGGGTGCACCACGTGATAGACTTTTTGCCTTATGAGTATACGTTGCCCAGGGTGCACCACGTGGGGGTAAGTCTATCACACACCCCTCGATCAAATGTTTATTATTTCGCTCAATCTCTTCTTCATTTCCCACTTAAGAGTGTTTTTAAAACTTTTTCTCCCATACTTCGCGGCCCCTAACACGAATCGTTATTATTATTATTGTCTTAGTATAACTAACGTACCATAGAGATAATGCTTACTTTCCAAGCAATCGCCCTATGCTTCAATATTGATTGCATAGATATTGATTTAAGAGAAGGGGGGGCATTTATTTGGTTCCACTTTTGTCCGAGTTAGTGTTAAGGAAGGAACACTTTTGAATTTGTTTCTTGCCAAATACATCTTGACTGATCTCCAAATGTTGTCTGTGTCTGTGTGCGCCTTTTTCTCCATTTGCCCAAAAGCTTTCTCCCAGGGCGTGCTAAGTGATTTCCTGCGTGCGCACAACATGCGTTTTCGGACCTCTCTATCCCCTTCATTGACTCACTTCTACATCTCGCCCCTCGCGCACAGAACCCATACCCGTAGGGACGCATTTTTCTCTTCTCTTTCGCTTTATCCCCAAAGTCTCATTTTCGACTTAAAAGACAACTCTTATCTCTCTCTTCAACTTCCGCGCACTGATTTCGTTTGATGCCAATCTCAGTACACGGCTTTGAATAATGAAGGCCGGGTTTCTTCGGTTCCCTTTTAATTGATGCCATTACATTTCACTCCTTTTGAATATGGTTTTTTTGTTGGCCACTCTGATAATGAGAGCGTAGCGTTGCATTAAGATGCGTTCTTTTCGGATTAACTTATTTTTTCTATTGTTAAATTGCTGGACAACACTGCCACCACCACTTCAAGGTATCTGGTCATTCAACTCCAGGTTAGGTCAATTGCGCTTTTGGTCACACATCCTTCATTGATCTGGTAGAAGTCCGAATTACATTTTTACTTTCTCTACTCTTGAGGTATAGGCCTTATTTCCCACATTTTGATGCTGTGATTCTCTCGGGTTTTGGGAATTATATGATCTTTAGACGGCTGAATCCATTTTTTCTGACCCCTCATATTAATGCTGGAAATCGCTTAATTTCGCACATTCTTCAATATTGTCAACCCTTTTTCCAGCAATCGCATACAGCCTGGCCTAGATTCTAAGACAAATTATGACGTTTTGATGCATCTTCGTTATTCTAATTTGTGCCCCTCTGTTTAGCCCCACGTCGAACGTTTCCTGGTGGGCAAATTTAATGATGACATAGTTACACGCCCCCCTTCCACCCCCCCCCCCCCCCCCCCCCTCCTCTTTTCCATCCACACGGCTAAGTAACTTCCTCCCATTAATTAGTGTCCCCATGGCTATGAGGGGGGGGGGATCTTGAATTGGAGGCTAAGTTGTCCTACACGCATTGTCACCTCTACTTAGTGTTTTGGTGAGTGGGTAGTGTTTAGCTTTCATCTAAGCTTTTGCCGTCATTTTGACAGTAGTAGCCTTCATGACATCGCTTGCTCGCCCTCCCGCCCGCTCTCTCTCTCTAGCTGCGGCTTAGTCAATTTTTGACTCAGCCGCCCTGTATGTACTGCTGGCCTGTTTTTGAATGCGTGTGCATAGGAGGGTTTTTTTCTTCTGGCTGGGTCTAGTCATTATGCTGCTAGCCAGCTAGCTAGCTAGCTGGAGATGGCCGCCTGACGGGGCATGTTGTTTGATTCATTGCCGCTGTTTTTTTAGGAGTAAAAGGGGAGGGAGGTGGGGGGGGGGGGGGGGGGGGGGGGCGGAATCGGTCCTTTTTT